CACTATCCCTTTGATGGATTAATAGAACCGGTACTTTCATTGTATTTTATACCTTTGGACTGGTACATGCACTATCCACCATAATTCTGGTCCGTCAGTATTGTTTACACGTAAATGGCACCATATTAAGTTTACCTGATCTCACCTGTTTACCATTTTCCTTGAACTTTTGAGGAAAAATGTTTGTATGTTTATATTCATGATTCTATCATTATCATGATGATGATGATAATAATACAAATGATAGTGAAAAGAAAAACTTCAATAAGATAAACTGGTGGAATCATAAATTAACTCCTTGTTGATTATGCATTTTAGGAGCCATCTATGTGTAATCAAAATGAATCAATTAAAATCACATTGAATTATATATATTGTATCTTGTCTAGTAAAAGCAATAAATAAAACTATTTGTTTTTATTTTTCTATTTTCCAGTTGGTAAAATTGGCTCTCCAAGACACTTTTCAGAGGCCTTTTCCCTGTAAGGTGAGTCTGTTTTTTGGCGTATGTTCATAATGTTCAACTGAATTGTAATTATACACTCACCCAGGCATGCACAGGCACGCGCACACACACAGGCATGCACACGTGCGCGCGCACACACACAGAGGCATGCACACACACATACACACAGAGGCATGCACACGCACGCACACACATACACACAGAGGCATGCACACGCACACACATACACACCACACACGCACGCACGCCACACAACACACCACACGCACACACACACACACACACACACACACACACACACACACACACACACACACACACACACACACACACACACACACACACACACACACACACATTGCATCTTGTGTACACTTACCTATCAAAACAACCCTGTCCCCCTCCCCCTCCTTTCCCTCCATCAAATTATGCCAGTTATGATTATGGAGCTGAATCTCATAATTCTTTTTTCTTTTTTTTTCTTTCAGGTGCAAGTTCAAGGATATGTCCAAAGTAATGCTGAATGACAGGATTATGTAAATGATAAAGGATGTCTGAGTTTAGAATAAAGTATTGTTCTTAGTGTATATAAAATCTGAACCTGTATTGATATACAAATGGAAACATTACCTACTTTTGTAAGGCTTTCTGGCACTAAATATATCCATAGTTTAATACCTTATGGAAGTATGTTTTTTATTTGAACATGGGATTTGCCATAAGACTATTCATTTTGTTTTATAACATGTCCATCAGTAGAAAGTTCAAGGAAAAATAGTAACCTTTCTTTTTGATAAATCTATGACAGGAAATATTTTTTAGTCAGTAGGTTATAAGAAAAAATAAGGGTTTCAGTTAAAAGAAATTTTATTGCAAAATTTAGAATTATGTATCAGGTCATTGTCTTATGATGTAAATGCCATGCTGTACCAAAATTTGACAGCAGAGCTGAAACTGCATGCACAAATACCAGATATGTAGGTATTATTCAGGTTGAAATATCAGCTGAAATAACAATGGTTATTAAATGAATAGTAATTTTTTTAAATTAGTATTGTATTAATGTTATTATATTATTTTTACTATTTATTGTTATCATTATTTTTGTAATTATTATTATTATTATCATTAATAATTATTAGTCTTTCCCACATTTATGGCATTACGGCACTGGTTGCAATATTAAAAAGGTAGCAAGACTTGAACATATTCTAGCTTGGCACACCAGTAATGATAATTAACTTATCAGTTATAAAACCATGGCCATGGTAAAATCTGCTATTTAACCCCTTGTCTGGAGGTTTTAAACTGTCTACTGTAGTTTGTGAATTTCATTGCACACAGATGGCTCCACAGGTGCTCAGCCTCCAACGAGTCAGTTAGTAGGCTCTAATGACTGTGCCTGATTTCCCCATCCGTCGAATTTGCAGGAAAGTGATTTTTTCTAGTGTGTTGATATCTATACTGTTATCATTGTTATTGACATTATGGTTAATATAATGTTATGAAAATACTAATAACAATAAAAATAATAGAATAAGAAAAAAATATCTTGGCAAATATCAAGGAAAATTATAAACAGTTTGAGATAGGTAGGACAATATTTGACTCCTTGGTGACTAAGCAGTTATGTAGCCTTCTCTATGTAAACAATTTACAAATTAAAATAACAGTGGACATGACTTGTGTTCATGCTCTTCATAGTAATTTGATTTAATGTACCAAGATGTGATCATATTTGATAATCAAGAATATCTACATTGCAGAGATAAAGCCATTTTTAGGGTTATTCAAGAGTTTACTCCAACTACAATATCTGGGTCCCTGTGCCTAAGATTCAGCTATAAAGTATTGGTAATATATTAGGCAAAACCCTTTTCTTGTTAATTTTATAATAAACATGAATAATATATTGGTATGTTTTCCCCTCTGAAAATAAAACTTCCTCATTTGAATGGTAAAACCTCAATCATATGATTATAATTTCCTGGTGTTATGGTAATTCCTTACATGTTAATGTAAAAGTTCAGCTAGCAGTTTCCGTATTTGGGTATATATTTCATGCCATCCCTCACCAGGCGAAGTCTACAAGCAGTGCTGATGTTGGTCAAGACTAGATAAAATTCAGCTTCACTCCTGGCATCATTTTTTTACCCTTTTAAGAAAATAGCAGGTGTGCATTCTTCCAATATGTCTGTATAATTTTGTTGAATGCTTTTTCAGAGTACCATTTAATTTATCTTAAATTACTAAGAACTTAGATTTAACCCATTAATGCTAGGAGGTCTTGTGTAAATATACCCAGCCCATTAATTTTACTTTATTTATTTTGTTAACACAAAAATGGTCCTAGAAGTACCTAGTCATCAAGGACTAAATACTACTACCAGCTTTCCCATGTTTACTTCATCACTTGAGTTTTCAGAAAAAAAAGTTTTTACTTTCATCACTATTAATACCATTAAAAATGTTGTTATATGTTGCTAATAACAATGTTTATAATGACAATTGTTTTTATAAGTATATAATATAAAAGGGTGGGAACCATTGGTATAGAAAAATAATGATTCAGAACAGGAACAACAATTGTCCTCAATAAGACAGTATTCAGCTATGGCTCTTGGTACTGCACCTCACCTCAGCAAAAATTATTCCAATATCTAAACTTGGTATCATATTACAAAGTGAAGCATAGAGTTTGTACCAAATATTTAAGATGTCTGCAAACATTAACTAGTCAGAATATACTTGGCAGGAAATCATTAGCCTTTACTGCAACATTGCTAAAATCACTGTTGGGAAACTATTTAAAGGCTGATTGTGCTATTAAATTTCAATTTACAAATTGATTTAAATAGCATTAATTGTTATTTCTGTAATATCTGAAACACAGAAGTGTTTATTTTTCAGTATCTTAGTGTTGCATTCCTCTATTCAACTGACCACAAAGGCAGCCAGCACTGGTGATGGCTTGATTGGCTGCCCCCTCCCAGTACCCTGCTCGTTCTTGTCGTGGGGGTGCTTAGTAGACGGAGGCTCAAGGTAGGGGTGATCCCCTACATTGTGCCTCAGCCCTCACCTCAACCTATTTTTCATGGTCTTTTCTCCTCCTTTCCTCTTCCATATCTTCTTTCCGTCCATTTTTCCCCTTCTGTCCCATTTCTAAGGTGTGAGAGCCGTGCTGAAAGGATGAAAGGCTGGCATTGTTTCAGTCATGAACAGTCTCCAGGAGCCATGGGCATGGTATTCCCTTGGTTAATTGCCTAGCCCTTACCTTGTATGGGGACCCTGAGGAGTAAACTGTTTCTTTTCCCCATTTTATTCAGGCTCACCATGGCCAATAGTGAAGACTGTTTACCCTTATTAGGAGCATTAAGGCTTGCCCTTACATCAACTAGCCTATCTTAATTCAATTTCGATGGTTTTCCAACCCCTGCCCCACTTTTGACCATGGCTCTGACCACTGATACTAATACCCCGTCCTTGACGGTCACTGACAACTGTATCCATTCTAAACCACCTACCTAGGTCATTACTCAAGCTATAGAATGCATCATTTCCTCTCTCCCAACTTTCTCCTCTCCTACTGCACAGTCTTCTTCAAAGTCTACCCCTTCTTCCCATATTACTACTCTTCATCCTTATTGTCCTCCCCCTCACAGAACTACTCCACTTCACACCACCCCATCTTCCTCTTGCCCTCGTCCTTCTACTGCCTCCATCTCTGCAATCCTTTTGAGTACTTCCTTTGGCCCAGCCAAGTTGTATTGATTCTTTGTGATTCCCCCCACAACCTCTTCCTCTGAAATTACCCTTCTTTTTCAAGTGTCTCCAAAAACAAGTAGGTAAAGTTTCCTTTCGCAGCCATACTGATCATTCACACCTTGTCAGTTATATCTGAATTCTAGGCTTCTGCACTATCTACCCTAACTGACCTCACTGGCAAACCCATTCCTACTGAACCTCACCCCTCTCTTAATACCTGTAGTGGATTTGTTTCTGTTTCTCCAACTGCTTTTCCTATCCACAACAAGAACTGGTCAGACTGTGAAAGTGACTTACTTACCTGCCTTGTTGATTACAATGCAGTGTTAGTACAGTGATACACTATTTCTCCCAGTATAAGTCCCATACCAATATTGCCAAGATTAGCTTCCGTAGACACAACCTCCACCATGAAGTTTACATTGGTGGAGTGTACAACCATATTGACCCATTCCCCATCAATATCAGAAATGTTGGCATTTTGGCCACACAACCAGACACTGTCGCTCCACAGTCTGCAGCCCTCTATGTGCTCAACCTCGTCATGAACATTCAAATTATCCTGCTCAGTCATGTACATGTGCCAATTGTTGTGGCTCCCATAATGTATTTTATAGGAGTTGCAGTGCCTATAAGCTTGTATGTGAGGTAGCAGTTCTCACATTCAAACTAGGCCTCACCCTCCATGAGGCAAGACAGGAAGCAAGGCGACAAGGTTTTTCTCTTTCTTTTTTCCTAAACAGTCTTTCACTGCTCGTCTCTCATCTTCTCAAGATGTCTCAGCATCTCCCACAGTCTTTTCTTTACCTCAGACCATCCAAGCTCTGCTCCCCCTATCCCCCAGTCAAATTCTTTTTCCAGTCTAAATCCAGATACTCCATTCTACCACTTCCTTGATACCTACCCCTTCTCACTTTACTTCTCACGCCAGGCAACCTAAACGTTCTACTTCACCTCTTACCACATCCTCTCCTACATCTTCCTCTTCCTCTGCTCCTCAGATATCTATCCCCTCTTCTCCTCCTCCTAAGAGAACCTTTGTTTCTTAGTCCTCTTCACCCAACTCGTATTCAGAAACTGGAAGACATCCAAAACTTCCTAAACATGACCCAAGGGAATACTCTACTCCCTCATCCACCCTCCAATCCCTCTGTTCCTATTCCTACATTTAAAGTATTTGCTGATATCCATCCTCCTCCTCAAGTACCCCCCACCAACCTTCTACCGCTCCCACCTGAATGCTCACATGAATCACTTCTGTCACAACAGTGTCCTCCAGACCCCTCCCCTCTTGATACTTTTTCTGATACTTCACCACATTCCCCAGTCCCCATTTCTCTTCTCCTGGATTCTTCTACTCTTACTAATGCTCCTACTTCTCCAACAGCTATATCTGTTTTCCTTGAGCAATTTCCTTATTTCTTCCCATCAAAAAAACCCTTCCCCTTTTACTAATCTCTGCTCTACTTCCCATCACAGTTATAATGCAATTCACATCAATCACCTACCCCTCTCAACCCTTCCCCTTTTACTAATCTCTGCTCTACTTCATTTGCTCTTCCCTCTTCACTCCCATACTGTCCTCCAATGTACTCCAATCTTTGACATCTAACACATTTTATCTTTATCTTTAACTCTTCTTTACCCTTTTGTTGTCAATACTATCATTGTTGATATCATCATCATCATTGTTAATAATGTTATCCTTATTATCTGGAAAAAATATACACCAGTAGACGGCAGGATTTATTATTTTTCAACATTTTTAATAACTTTCTTTTGTTGATATTATATTCAGTGAGGTTCATTATCATCTTTTGTGTGTGGGTGTTTGCATATAATAGAGAGAGAGAGAGAGTTTGATATATTACACATTCAGATTATGCACTGATAATATCTGTTTTATAGAATGGGACAAAAGATTTGGGATCCAATATCTTAAGATAATATTTGGGACCTCAGTCACTGAGATTACCAAGATCTTGAAAGTAGAAATAATTTTCAGCTGGCAATATTTATTTACCTATGTACTTGTTATTTTTTATCACACACACACACACACACACACACAGAATTGAGAATTGTATATTCAACTTATATTTATAATGCAAAAGATCATCTGAACGTACTTACTTGCACACACACACACACACACACAGCACACACACACACACACACACACACACACACACACACACACACACACACAGAGGCAACTCAAAAGATCATCTGAAGGTACTTCCTTGAAAATACAATATTATTATTATTTCCATGGCACTGTGTAAAACAATATTTCATGAATACATTATGTAAGCCAATAATGTAACAACATTCGACAGCATAGAATAAATAGCCACTAGATATACTTTGTTCACAACATGGAAGCAATGGCCGTCATCGTCTTTAAAATATATTTTCTTATAAAATGCACCTACATCGCTTGCATTTCCTTCACAAATCCAAGAAACTGGTGCCAACATATTCAACGCATTTAGTTGTAATGCGTTTGATAATTGTAAGCATTGATTCATTGCACTTCGAATATCAAATCGGTTAACAACGGCATATGAAGGTGTATATTTTTAATAAGGACTTGGAACTAGAAAGAAGCTAGGTGTCATAGTTTGTTTTTTTTTTTCTGGTAAGCAACAATCTTAAAAGTTCTGCACGTCAATCAGATATCCTCAACCATGTTAATGTCATAGTCTGGTAGATTGGGTAAACCGTTCTGCCCCAAAGTAGATTTGTTGTATAAGTAGATGATATGAAGTGTCACATGGATCTATTTCATGCAGAGCTGGGAGAGCTACCTAATGTGGGTAACAAAAATAATTCAACAGGAATGAAGCATGGCTGACATAGACTAAAACTACGTTGACGCTACTGAGGTGTGGCACTGAGCTGCCACTGCTTCAGGTCCTTGCAACGTCTTCGTGGTAGGATAACCATCACCTGGCACAAGGAAGTAGAAGATTATGTGGTTTTGTTTTACAAAACGGTTGGTAGTTGTTTTTTTCAGTACGTCCTTACGTTTATTTGCAATATATATATATATATATATATATATATATATATATATATATATATATATATATATATATATATATATAATATATATATATATATATATATATATATATATATA